GCCCTCTCCCACAGCCTTACCAGTGACCGTTGACCGTTGACCGTTGACCGTTGACCGTTGACCACCCTCTCCCTCCACGCCCGTCCCATTCCTGCTTCCCCCGTGCCTCCACTTCTCGCCCTTCCCCTCTTCCCCCGAGCGAGCTTTGGAGTCGGAGGTGTGCGGTGACTGCGTCTCTGTCCCAGGTAGGTCTGTCCGTGACCCCTGGCTGCTGTCATTTTTTCCCCTTTGCTTCCGGGTTGCTGTCCCTTCCCCCCCCCTCCCTTTCCCCTTCCCCTTCCCACGCCTTGCGCGCTGTGGCCACGCACTACGTACCAGCCCATCAGCCATTCTTCGGCACGGTACGCGGTACGCATGGTGTAAACCCGTCTTGCTCGCTCCTGGTCTTTTCTTTCCCCCTCTCACTAAGCAGCCTGCCTGCCATTGGGACCGTCCTGTCTGCTGCTAACATGCTCTCTGACCCATCAGCGCCGACCCGCGTCGCCCGCGCCCGCGCCCGTGTCCGCTTTCTGCTTCCGCCTTGCTGCCTTGCTGCCTTACTGCCTTACTGCCTCAGGCCCCCAGATCCCGTGACCTCGCCGCCTTTGGGCCTTGGCCGCCAGATTCTCCCTTTCACACCCACTTCCCTCTTCGGAATCGGCATCGCTCCTCCGCCGGCATTTGAAAGCAACCAACCTTGTCGGTATGTATCCTCTGCTTTATTTTATTTTTTCCTTATTTATCTATTCCCCCGTCTTCACTGCTCCTGTCGCTGCTGTCCGCATTTTTCTCTTCTTCTGTTTGCTCAGGTTTTGCGCAATGCCGTGTGCTGTGATCCACCGACCGTTCTCTTGTTGCGGCCAGGTCGCGCTTGCTTCCATGTCCTGCACTCGACGACGCGTCTCGAACCGTCTTCACGTGTAGCTCGGGAGCTGGACTTGGGCGCATTGCTTCTGTCTGGGGAGCGGCCAGCTACTTTGGATTGGATGCCCATGTGGTTTCCGTCGCGTGTCTTTTTTTTCCCCCTTCTTCTTCTTCTTCTATTTTTGCATGGCTAATCTTTAGCCGTCACCCGCAGATGGGTTGGTAGAATTCGCGCGACATGAATGCCTGGCTAGCCGACGGCTCGAACCTTCCAGGTCATGAAAATGGTGCTTTCCATCCCTCGACGATTGATCCGTCTGCCGCATTTCTCCATCCGTCCCCGACCCCCCAGGACCCCAACCAGTTTCAACAGCAGCGAATGTTCAGCAATGGGGTCTCGCGAAATGTCTCCCCGGGCTTCCACAACCCAAACCAGGTGATTCCGTCAAAACGACCGCGTCCGGAGGATGGGATGTCGATGTCCCCCAGACCGGCATCGGGCTCGCTTTCAGCCTCGCGATCCCAGACCCCCCAACAAGTCCCCTTCCCTGGGTACCAGGCGCCAAACAGCGGAGCACCGCAGTTCCCCGCTCATCCAACACCCTACCAGCACCTCCAGCAGGGTGCTCCTAGCAACGTCACACAGTCTCCGATCATGCAAGAGTTTGATCAGACCGCCGCCCAGAGGATGGGTACGGCGTCCCCTAGCCCGTTTTCACCGGCTGGCCACATGGGACCACAGATGTCTCCATCGCAGTCCGATCACAGTAATCGAGTGAACACGCCGCAGGGCGCCGCCAATTTCATGTCGGCGGGTCAGCCGTTTCCACAGGGGGTGGGCTCGCAGTTCTCGCCACCCACCGCAATGACCTCGGGCGCTGTGCAGGCACCGATGCCTGCCCAATTCAGTGGCGTACCCCAAGGATACCAACAAGCCCTGGCCGCCCAGCAACAACGACTGTATGCCATGCAGATGCAGAACCAGGCCCGTCCGATGAACGCCGCCGGGAACCCTGCCCTGGCAGGCCGTCCCGGCAGCAGTGGCATCAATCCGATGGCCAACCCTCAGCAAATGGCGGCCCTGAGACAAAGCATGGCCAAGCCCACCAACCCCGAAGGCTTCATGAGGTCCCTCCAAAAGTTCATGATCACTAGGAACCTGCCTCTGGATCCCAGTCCGGTCGTGAGCGGTCGCCATATCAGCTTGGTGCAACTATATGCCACCGTCATCAAGCTTGGCGGCTCCAAGAAGGTCACTGCCTCCCAGATGTGGCCTGCAATCGCGCAGCAGCTTCAATTCCCCCCCATGCAATTCCCTATGGCAGTCCAGGAGATCCGGGACCATTACCAACGAAACCTAGCTCCCTACGAACAGGCATTACTCAGCTCTCAACATAAACCGTTTACCGATCAGATGCAACAAGGTGCTATCCCGCGCCAGCCTAGCGACCCAAGCGGGTTACAGTTCCAGTCCCCGACGGTAAAACCGGGCGCCGGCTTCGAGCCCGCACAACAACTCGCGCATTCACCGACAGCCAACGCCGCATTATCGAACAATATGCCCCACGTTGGTCCAAACGGCTTCGCGACCCCCACACCAGTCAAGGGCCAGAATAGTAGTAATAATCATAATAACAACATCAACAACAATAGACAACCACAACATCAATCAAGACCCAGCGTCTCCCGGCATTCGCAACCGCCGACGCCCCAGCAGGATTCCCCCGGACTTGTTTCGGGGCCCTCGCCCGCACACCCGGTGAAGCCAGAGCCGGTATCCATGCCCGGGAAGCCTCCAGGCGAAGCAGACCAACATTGGGATGAGCCTCTCAAACATCCCATCGGAGATACCTTCAAACCGATGGTCTTACACGCAAGCGACGTGTATGGGCCAATCGCGTTGGAAGATCTCTATCAGATGGGAGAAGACATTTCCCGCTGGCGGCCCAACGTGCCCACCTTTGTGGAACTGGGGGTGATTGACATTCACGCCCTCACCATGAGCATCAAGTCTGGAATCCATGCGGAGATGCGAATGGCCCTGGATACGCTCACCACGATCTCCTCGGAGCCAACGGTCCAGATCTCCCTGGACAACTGCGAGGACCTTGTTGAGAGCTTGGTCGAATGTGCCGAAGACCAGGCAGAGCTGTTGGCGGAGAATTCAGTCGAAGTTTCGGACGAATTGCTCCTGCCGACGTACGAAGAGGTCACGCGGGGCTGTCAGACAGAATTCACCTCTCTGGCAGACGTCCCCGAGTTCGGGAGTGTGGAGTACGAACTCGACCGGGCTGCCGACCGGCTCATCTGCATCACCACCATCCTGCGGAATTTCTCATTCACAGAGTCAAACTTCAACATCTTGGGAATCCCCGCGGTTATCAAATTCCTCGCCACCATCGTCCGCTATCTGGGAACCCGGAACATGTTCATGCGAACGCATCAAAACACCTTAGACTTCATGAAGGATGCCGTGATCTGTTTGAGTAACATCGGGCATACGATCCACTTACCGGGCAAAGAAGAAACTCTCTGTCTCGTGCACTTTCTCCTCTCCTTTGCGCCCTCTCCTGCCCCGATCGTGGCTCCCGAGGGTATCTATTTCGCAACGTACAACTCGTCCATCCACAAGTATACACCGGCGGCAGTGGACTGCTTGGCGAAGTTGTTGGCAAGAGACGACCCGAACCGAACGTACTTCCAGGCCTTGTTTGCCGGTGACGGCGTACCGTCATTACAGCAAGACCTCCTCACCCGGGCATTTGGCTTGGCTATCTGTTCCATTCCGGACCAGCCTCGCAAGTCTGTTGGAATTCCTGATTCACGCAAGGTCTTCCTGATGCAAGGCCTGTTGGCAGCCGACGTTCTCACGACGTTTGCCGATGGCAGTCTGTCCAGGGCTTGGCTAGGATCGGTGGATGGATTTGCCATTCACCTCCTTCGACTCTCTTGCCTACTGGGTACGGAACGCGTATTACCAATGAACCAGCGCTCTACATCCGCCGCTAGAGGGCAAATGGAAGCAGACGCGTATACCTACGGTTCGATTATCCATCGTGGATTGGCCATCCTTCGTCGGCTGGCCGAGAAATCGAAGAATATGGACAGCGCCTCGAGCATGGGCATTCCCTCTGGTGTTATTCCCCGCAAAGAGAGTCTGCTCGGAACCTTGTTGATGCCGAATGTTGATCCCATCATCATCCGTCAGCTCCTCACTTACGCTCGAATTGGAGATTAGGGAACCATATCTTGATTGCGGGCATGAAATGGACTGCGTTTAGAACCATTGTTTTTTTTATTTTACTTTCGAACTTTGACTCAATTCTCTCTCTCTCTCTCTCGTGTGTGCGTATATGTTTGTTCTTCTCATGCCTACCCTTCGATATGATGTGTTCTATTCTTTTTTTCCCAAACAAGCCTTACATGTTCCTCTCATCTTTCCACCCCCCCACCCCCCCCCTCTTGCTTCCCCCTTTGCCTTCTTCTTTCCATGGGCGCTGGGATCTGGCCGGATATGAATGGACCTGGTAATTAAAGTATCTACCTAGGGACCTACCTACCTACTTATTCATTTTTTGTATCTGCTGTTGACATCCTCTGTACAATGCATAATACCCCCCCCTCGAACCCCTAAAAACTTTGGAGAGATCATGTGTGATGTCTGATGGATGTTCTATTTCTCTCTCTCTCTGGTTTGGTCATAGGTCTACATACCACTGCCTCCATTTTTTGTCCATGCGTAATCCTGGCGGGTTCTTGTGATAGTTATGAGACTTTTTTACTATCGGTTTTCTTTTCTCTTTTCTCTTTCTTCCTTTTTTCTTTGATCGGGGGAACAAAAGTATAAAATGAGATATTAAGCAATCTATTCAGATTATACTTGGATGGACCGGTCACCTATGATAGAGCTATAGTCAAGTCAATACATGGCGTTTACCTTACGGAAGCGAGGCGCTGTAGTTTGCGTTGCAATAAGGGGGATGTCGAACGATAATTCGCTGTTATCTTGAATATCAGGGTTATGCCTATCTAGCTCTCTAGTAGGGGATCCGAAACATTAAGGACTATATCTTGGAAAAGTGATATGCCGTTGAATGAATGGATTAAGCTAACCGCCGCTCCCGGTACATCCGCATGAAGACATCGAGTACAGAAATGTTCACCAAAGAGCTATCGCAGAAATGAGAACATAGAGATGCTGCTGCTGGCAAAATCATCAACACATGTACATTCGAAATAAATAGTACAGAGAGCTGCGATAGAAGAGGGGACACAGCAATAATAACGAAGAACAGAAGAAGAAGAGAAAAAATCGAACCTCCATTAGAAAAGACAGAAGGGAAAAGAGAAATAATGAGATGCCCTGGAAGAATACAGTATGAATGGAGAAGTATGATGACGATGATGCTAGTGCTGGTAAACCCACTCTCAATTTGAGAGAGCTTCCTTTCTCAAGGCTCGGTATCATCCGAGGATTGACCGGTTTTATTATCTCAAGGATACTGATCTGACATTCCGGAATGTCTAACTTTTAGGTGTTGGCAAGACCGTTCTCGAAATGATGTATAGGTATGCTCGGGAGTGTAGGTTGGAGGTCTTGAAGGTGATGATAGGGGGATTCGAGGAAGAGAGGCTTGGTAGAAGAGACATTGATTGGGTTTTGTGCAAGTGTTGGTTTTTGATTAGAAGTTACGGTCCTCAAGAAACTTTTGGATCTCGGGTTTTCGCCAGCCCTGAGTCTGATATTAGAGAACCAGGCGTTCAGTGAATCAATTCATCCGACATACCTTAACAATGATATGCCCGTTCAATCGGTTGATGGTCACATCAGAGCCCTTTTTCGATCCCGAGTCCAGCCCTAGGGCACGTGCTAGATCATCCCGCAATGCCTCAAGATCGCCCTCAGTCTTCTGAATCTTGGTTTGTTGCTTGGTACCACCTGCTTTTGTGACAAGGTAGACAGGAAGTTGGTTTGATGCAGTTCGACGAACAAAGTACGGAAGATTTGTCAATTGAAGGGGGGCTTCCTGAAGACTCGAAGCGGAAGACGGTGCAATACCCTCCTTCAGAGTCTGCGATTGGCGCTTCAGTTGGGTGAGGAAGCCTCGCGTCTGCTGGGGGCAATGAGGTGTAATGGGGGATCGGGGATAATATTCTGTACACCAGATGAAGATCAGTTTTCTGCATCAGACCACTTTTTTTGATCGTGCATTCTCTCAAGCCGCCGCCTGGAGTATGACTATTGACAGAGATCCAGCCTCAATGGGTATGATAGGCAACTTACGAGACGGAGACGGGCTAGACCGATAACATTTCGTCGACAGGGACCTGCATGCCCTGGACGCGAAAATGCATTGTGATGAGCTGAGACGCAGAGGCATCGCGGCGGATCGCTGGCGGATAGCAGACGAGACGGCGAGCGACTGCGAGAGGGACGCCATGTACACTGCAAGCTCCGAGATAGACTCGGACTGGGGGATGCTGCCGGGACGAAGCACGTCGTGTCGTGGAGTGGTGCAACAGCAGACGACCGGCCTCCGAAGCCTTTGCTCTTTTGCTGCGTTCTTTCCTGCTTTCTGCGCGGAGCACCAACGCTAGGCCCTGTTAGGCCTAGCGCGGCCACCAGCCCTCCCACCCACATTTTCGCCAGGCAAAAGCACATTTTGGGCGGGCGACAGAAAGAAGATCCATCCGACCTTCCTTCAGCGCTCTCGACCTTTCCTTCAAGGCTCAAGGCACCCCCCCCGTCTCTGCCATTCCAACCACTCGGTCACCATGGCAGACAACGCACCCCCCTCCGCCGAGACGCTCCTCAGCGGTGCCGCCGCTCAGGCACCCAAGACCGCCGAAGAGATTGCGAACCAATATGACCTGCTCCCCAAGCTGATTCCCTATCTCGACCGACACCTGGTTTTCCCTCTGCTGGAGTTCAACTCGGGTAACTATGACGAGAAGGAGGCGCTGCGGGCGAAGTATGAGCTGCTCAAGCACACCAACATGACCGACTACGTTGCGAACCTGTGGAAGGAGATTAACGACTCGGAGGCCATTCCCGACGAGTTTGTCAAGAAGAGGGAGGAGGTTCTGGCCAAACTGAACCAGTACCAGGAGCAGAGTGCCAAGATCACCGAGCTGCTGCAGGACGAGAGCGTGGTCGGCAACCTGCGGAGCGACAAGGTCGCTAACTTGCGTTTCCTGGAGGAGCAACATGGTGTTACCGTCGAGATGGTCAACAGCCTTTTCGACTACGGCCGGTTCCAGTACAGCTGCGGCTCCTACGGCAATGCTGCTGAACTGCTCTACCAGTTCCGTGTGTTGTCGACTGACAATGACAAGGTGGCCTCGGCGACGTGGGGTAAGTTCGCGTCCGAGATCCTCACCACCAACTGGGATGGTGCGATGGAGGAGGTGCAGAAGGTCAAGGATTCGATCGAGACACGCCTGTTCAACAACCCTCTGGGTCAGCTGCAGAACCGCTCGTGGCTCATCCACTGGTCGCTGTTCCCCTTCTTCAACCACGACCCCGCCCGCGATGTCATCACCGACCTCTTCTTCTCCCCCGCCTACATCAACACTATTCAGACCAGCTGCCCGTGGATCCTGCGGTACCTTGCCGCGGCCGTCATTACCAACCGCAGCCGCGCACACAAGAATAGCAGCGCGTATCAGAAGCAACTGAAGGACCTCATTCGCGTCGTGCGTCAGGAGGGCTACGAATACTCTGATCCGATCACCGACTTCGTCAAGGCGCTCTACATCGACTTCGACTTTGAAGAGGCACAGAAGAAATTGGGCGAGGCGGAGGATGTCTTGCGCAGTGACTTCTTCCTCGTTTCTGCCGCCGACGCTTTCGTCGAGGCCGCCAGACATCTGATCTCGGAGAGCTACTGCAAGATCCACCAGCGCATCGATATCAAGTATGCATATAATGATTGAACCCAGCTGAATTATGTTGAATAATGTCTGACATTCTTTTTACTCAACAGGGATCTTTCCACCCGTCTGGGACTGAACCAGGACGACGGTGAGAAGTGGATCGTCAACCTGATCCGTGATACCAGGGTTGATGCCAAGATTGACTACAAGGAGGGAACAGTCATCATGAACCACCCCCCTCAATCAGTGTACCAACAGGTCATTGAGAAGACGAAGGGAGCTTTCTTCCGGACACAAGTCCTGAGGTAGGTTGCAGTGAAGAAAAACAAAATAATTCCCAAATCTGTTATAAAACCAAGGGCTAACTCCATGACAGTTCGGCTGTTGCAAAATAAGAACAGTTTTTAATTGATTTACCCCCGTTGAAAAGGAAAAAAAAAGCAAATCCACGGGCTCCTTATGTGACGGGACCAATGCAGAGTGGCATACATAAGGCTGGCGTTCAGGCTGTCGACCTTTTGATGTTTCTTTTTTCATCTTTTCAGAAATTTGAGTGGGCCTTTTTTTTTTACTTTACCTGAGAAATTCAGATCTCTTGAAAGGCCTCGGGATTTGACGACGTCTGAAACGCTGGAAATATTGCGAGTTATCGTACTTATTTTGATCCATTTTCTTTCCCCCTTTCGCTTTTTCTTCTCTTTCTTTCCTTTCCCATCGAAGAGAGTGTCATGGACCAGCGCATTGGCCTGCAGGTCTCATGAATAGGGGAAAAAAAAGCATTCTACATGAGCTGAACTATGTTGTTACGAACGGTCTATAGAGATGATCGAGACGATTTGTCGAATCAATTCCTCGTTGAAATTATTTCACCCAACTGTTAAAAAGAAGCACGGGGAAGACATCAGCAATATGTCCTACGTAGCACCAGGTACCTACTAGATGTAAGAACTATGAGGTGCTGGATGGGACGAACTATATCAAGGTCATGGCTACAGGATATGGAACAATACATATATCTACTTCACTGGGGGTAGGTATATGACCTGCGATGAAGTTAAACGAGGCCTAGCACGAGGAGCAAAGAGGACGAACCCTCAACGAATAGAGACGTATGATGGGAATCATGAACCCAGAAAATGAACTGGGCTCTCTGCTTATAAACCGAGGCAGCTTAGTATTGAAGTGGTGAGTTCTGTTTTTTGCCTCTCTAAACATGCTATCTGCAGCGTAGTTCTGTGGTTCCCGGTTGATATATGGACAAGGTAGACGAGAACCTCGAATATCCAGGTAGGGCAATGTAATATATGGACTGCGTTGTTTGTTTGTTTTGTTTTTTTTCTGAGAGAGCAATTTGGTTTGGTTTGCCAGGAAGTGTACAGAACTATTGTTTCCTTTGTGATATATTCAGCATGATTTCATAATAATATATATTTTGCATCATCGTCCCCGTCGGCATTCACCTCCCACAGGCTGTCTTCGACCGCGGGGATTCACAGACACCAGCTCGTTGATATAGGGTTCCGCTGGGTTCTGGCTGGTGATATCGAGGTTGGAGCGATGCGCCATTCTGAGGGCTTCTTGCCGCTCATACTCCCGCGACATGATTGCAAGATCGTTGATTTGTTCCTATATGCGCGAGTCAGTGGGAACACTTCCTCTTCTTCTTCTCTGAGAAATTAATAGAGATGGGATAAGGGGGGCAGAGACCCGTGTCAGAGGTACGCCGACAATGAGATAACCTTCGCGCCCCTTTTATATTCATCAATTCATCTTCGGTTAGGGCTGTGTTTCAATATTCCTGGGGACCGATCCGCCGGGCACGTGCAAGGATGATGTTGATGTTATTTATTTACCTGGTAAGTATATGGCCTGACCGAGGCAGATGGTCCCAAAAAGAACCGGATGTGACCTAGAACGATATGGCGTGAGAGCCCGTATCCGGGAAGCCAGTACTCTTGGACTCTCGACATTCTTTCAAGGGGAAGGCCGGTACTGATCGATCAATGGTCTAGAGTGTGTGATTATGGACACGTTAGTTCCGAGTAAGGGGCATTTAAGTGTAAGATGCAATCTGGGGAATCAGACCTCACGGATAAAGTACCTACATGAGAGGGCTTTAAGTAGTAACACCACAGGAGGCGGAGAGGAACACGATCAAGAGGATAACCTAGG